GTACGAAGGGGAAGTGGTCTTTCTCGTCACGGTATTGCATGATCTCATCTTCTTCTAACGGGGCAGGCGAGCCAAAAGACTTGATGCTCCATGTGTCCACTAGCCTGAGTACTTCTCGAGCGTCACTGTCATTTTGAAGTGCGTGAAGACGAAGAATAAGACGACGTGCTCGTCCGATTCTTGCAACGTCGTCATGTCGAGGTTGGAATATGTGCCGGACAGTGCGCTTGTATGGGATAGTAGTTGTGATGTGCCTAAATAATATGTCTTTGCAAATACAGCGAAATAACAGACAAGTGGATGACACAGCAAGAAGATCTTCGACCGCCAGGAAACTCCAGCAATGCTGCCAAAGCTCCAAGGGAAGAGACTGCGCATAAGGCTTGGACTCTTGCAAAGTTCCAAAGACTGACCCATCTGGTACTACTCTTCTAGGTAAGTCAATTATTGAGCTGTAGTAGTACTTACTGAGCGCGGGTTTAGCCTTAAGCTAAAGGTCAAGTTGAAGCTGCAAGTTTATACTAATTTTGACAAGTACTTTATATGATGTCATCGACCAGTCGCGACGCGAGATAGGGTTCTCACCTCTACCTTTCTTCTCCTCCGCACAAACGAATCGCTGCAATTATCCCCCAGACTTGTTCTAGAAAATGCAGAAACCACAGCGTGATATCCCTAAAGTTTTGTCAGCTCTGACCACCCGCAATCCCGCCGATTTGCAGGACACTGTAACCAGATTCTACACGCACGACGCCTCTTTGCGCCACCCTCTCAGCATCGTGAGCATGGAACAAACTCAAAGGAGAAGATTATCGTGTGTATGAGTGGTATCGCATCGTCAGCCCCGACGCTACCAGTAACGTGAATTCAGCGTGTTGGTTTACCAAACAATATCGTTCCTCCGTCCAAAGCTGACTATATGCGCCTTAACAATAATAGCATACGACATTAAAAGTAAAGTTCTTATCGCTGATGTCACACGGCACTCCGGTGTTAGATTCAGCCCGTTCAAGGTAGCCCCGTCTCGGTGAGTGGATACGCGTTAGTGGCCTACAGTCGTGATATTGACGCGAATGCCAACTACGCATCCGTCAGCCACATGATCCGTCTTGAACTCCAGGAGCATGATGGGCTATACTATATCCTATCAGAAGAAGACCTCGTCCACTCCACGGTCTGTCCATTTGTTGAAAATATTATTTAGGATTTTGGATTGATCGTCGACGGTAGGACTTGATGAATTCACTTCTGCCGCCTCTGGCTCCACTCGTCCAGCTCGTGCTTATCTTCTTCGCGTTTATGGCGGTTGCGGGTTCGAAGGTGTGGTTCTCCAGCTTGCTCCTGTCGGAGAAGCTCTTCGGCATGGGGAGCGATACCCAGAGAGGCAAAACGAAACCGGGCTCAAAGAAGTTCACGCAAGCTGAAGACCAAGAGACGGAAGGGAAGTCTATGCAAAACGGCTCGTCCGGAGGTAAAGCCAAAAAGTGAACACTTGCGCAGCACACTTCAGTTGGGTCTCGAGTCCATCAGTTTCATAATCATTTGCAGCCGTACTTCATACACGATCAGGACACTGTACTTTATCACCAATTGTATTTTTGACGCAGTCATGATAGGGGAATCCTTCTCTCACTTTGTGCTACGTGAATATTTCCATCAGTTAAGTCAAATACTGGTTGACTCCCGCACGCACAATGGAAGGTTTGGAGTTGGAGCCTGCGGTCTCGACTCACGAGACCTTGCAACTTCCAAACCACCTGTCGACCGATCATCCGAAACGCCCATGCACAGACATTTAGACACCGCTGAGGCAGATCAAACCAGAGGTGTGCTAAACGGACTAGCGGGGGGTAAGGAGGGCAACCATATCCTAGAACATCACACACAGGGAGTTGAGTAGTAAATAATATTAAGGTGGGTGAAAGATATCCTCTTGGCGAGCCACATCAAGAAAAACCTCCCGTGAAATAGGGAAGTTTAGATCTAAGTTGGCTAATTAGCGATAATCTTGTATAATTAGACGGTTTAGCAGATTAGGACTCTTTACTTGCCTTTCCCTTTGCCATAATTTTGACTAGCTTTCTGCTAATTATTCGAAGGTTAGAACTAGCGTAGTCAAGATTTTCGCCCTCTTGTTTAATCCCTTACTTCCAACTGATATACGAGAAAAAATGGAAATTTATTCAAGTGTATACCGATGACACATGTGCAGCAAAGGATACAAATACAGGCCGCCACGCGCAACAAAGGTGTGCGAGTGATGGCATCCAGCTCCAATGTACATAGCCACTTCCTCTGGCTAGGACATTGGACGTTTAGTGGCATTATCAGGACATGCGATGACACACGGAACTTGACTATAAAACGGAGGGAAGGGTAAGCACGCCTGGATTGATTGCACAATATACCTGCATGAATGTGTTTATTTCTCTGAAACTCCCCACGGACAGGTAACAATCGATACGTCAGACGAGGGCACGACACGCTGATGATGCTGGGTGCTGACGGTGTGTTGTGAGAGCCTGAGTAGTGGGGAGCCAGGACGTGAGAATGTCCTGCAAAGTCCAGACGCACGCACGCATGAGGGCGGTAAGAGCCTGTTGGAAAGTGAAGGAATCGGACGGTATGGAGAGGTCTGCGTTCAGCGTGGCAATGAAGATCAAGACTCATATGTTGAGGGTGTGCTGGACAAAGTACTAGTGGCGGCAGAGTGCTGTTTGTATCCATGTCAAAGGTGAGTTCAATTGAATGCACATACTCACCTTCTGAATGGTCTAACATCACCTCCTTGCCCTCAACTAAGTCCCAGCACCTTCCTCGAAGTCAACGGTAGGAGGCATTGGGAGAAAGGCACGATTCGTCTTGGGGAGCAAGAAAGCGCCAGGGGAGTAGAATAGAGACGAGAACGCCACACGATTACGAGGAGGTAAATCCACGCATAGTCCAGACTCAAGGCGTGATAGACTAGGCTAGCGCTAGAGAGGGACCTGCAGACGCGGAAGCGATGGGAGGAGTATACATGGCCTGCAGCAGGGCAGGTACTCAGTACTCAATGAGGTAGTGGTTACAGGACATGTCAGTTCGAAGTTCAAACTGAAAATTATGTGAGTGTACAAACATGTGCAAATGTTTGACTTGTGGTGTTTTATCTGAGAGAGAGAGAGAAATTCTATATTTATATACCGCAACAAACAAAGTGAGCTGTTAAGACGCGGTGCCCTGTTAGGGCTGTGCTGGGGAGTGTTGTAACAGGGTGAGGGATGTAGGTATAGTACGAATAGCCAAGCGGTCCGCGTTTGATGAGTTTTGGTGTGCGTGTGGGCTCGTTTGGTGTCCAGGCTTAGTATAATATGATACACTTTCTCTCCTTCCTCCTCCTTCTGATCTCTCCTCGTCTCCTCCTTCCCTCGTCACTTCCTTCTTTGCCCTTACTCAGGCTTCTGTCCCTCTCCTTTCTTCCCAGTCTCCTTCTCGTTCCAGTGCGACCTTCTTGAATGCGCTGGATTCTTGAATAAACTTCGCTAGTGCCTTTATGCCCTTCTCCGTACCCAAAATTTCGTTGAGTATGATGTTGTGTGATACCTCACGCAGATGGATGCGTTGTCGCGCAAATAGTGGGCAGTCACGTATGATATGTTCTCGTGTTTGACGTGGTTCTCCACATGGGCAGAGGGTGGGTTCGGTTGGAACGAATGCAGCGTAGTATTCTCCCATGAATCCGTGTCCTGTGCGGCATTGTATAAGACGGCCGTATACTTCTCGAGGAGTGTGAGTGAAATGTTGGCGGGGTTTGAGCGTTGGTGGGAGTCGATTTGCGAGAGCGAAGCGTCCAGTCTGTGCTGCCACGTCTCTATTCCAACTCTCTGTCCATTTCTGCAAGATCCCTTCCTTGTTTCTTCGGCGCGCATTTGCATAGGTCGAGTGGTACGAGTCGTTACGTCCAGTGGCTTCTTTTGCAAGCTCGTCGGCACGTTCGTTGCCGATGATGTTGTGATGTCCTGGGATCCATGCAATTTGGACATGATGGAGGGGGGATGTGGTTAGGTAGTCTTCGATCGAGCGTCTGATCTGTAATGCAATGTATTGTGAGGGTCCGGGTGCAGCTGCATATGCAGCCTGCACCACAGAGTTGTTATCGACGTAGAAATGTAAATGGGTCACCTGGGAATTTTGCGCAAAGCTGATAGCTCGCGATATTGCTCGAAGGAGCGCTACCATCTCTGCATCATACACCTCTGCTTTGGGACCCATTCCTTCCTGACCCCAGAAGACTTCTCTTCCTCTGTGATAGCCGGCCCATCCTGCTCCAGCTCTTTCCTCCTCTCTGACTGATTGTTTCGATCCGTCTGAGTGAAACGAGAAGGTGCGTGTCCTCCGTTCGTAGATTACGAGCGGTTTGTATGTGCGCTTTGGCGGCTTCTTTCTTGTCCTCCTCTTTGCTTGTCCGAGATCGTTAGGCGGCCGCGGTACGTTTCCTTCGTGTTTGCCCAAGGTGGCAGCGCAAATATGTTGATGCGTTCCGCGTTCGGGGATGCTCGTTTTGACAGACGGGTGAGTCTGGTCATTTTGGTGGTTTGCGGCTGCGAGGACGGTATTTGTCGGTGGGAAGAGCGGGTGGGGGGTCAGCGAGGTTAAATTGTCGCCAGGGTTGATCAAGTCTCTGTAGGATTGGGTTGAACGAGGGGAGTTTGAGTAGTCGAGTGGCGGCGTTATCGTTTGCGTGTTCGAGGAAGAGGTTGATGGGGGGGATTGATGTCTCTATTTCTAGGGCCTTTATTGGGGTGGTTCGGAAAGCGGCACAGATATGTCTAAGGGATTTGTTTTGGACGCGGGTAAGCATGTTTGCATGGGTTTTCACGCCCGTCCACCAAACGGGGCTTGCGTATGTCATTACACTGCGGACACAAGCCGAGTATACAGTTCTCAATAGTGATTGCGAGAGACCTCTTACCGTATTTGCAAGCATTTGTAGTCCTTGGGCGATATTTTCCGCTTTGCCTGCCAGTTCACATACATTCCTGCGAAAAGAGAGTTTAGAGTCGAAATATATACCAAGCCATTTGATACAGTCACGGGGTTAATTGTCACCTGTCCTTCGTCACTAGGCAGCAGGATAGGTGGTCGATCCGGTGCACGACGCCATGTGAAATGGATGAGCTCAGATTTGTCAATTTCCGCCATCAGTCCAGCTTCGCGAAGCCAATTGTTCACAAAAATGAACTCCTCCCGGAGTATTGCGACATTTTCTCCAAGGATGGAGAGGAGACATATAAGTTTCCATCATCGATGTAGCATGCTAATGTGGTCTGTGGCTTTGTCCGGGCGTAATTCACGAGCTCGAGTTTTCACATTGTAGGCTTCGTTTAGTGGGCTTGTGCAGATAATCGAAAAAAGCATTTGAGAGATGTGCAAAGGATACTGCAACGGCTGATGAACGTGTATGTCCAAAGCTGTGGGGCTGGTGAGTTTATTCAATCGCCAGATAGAGATTTGGTTATGAGCGGTCTTCTTGCTGTTGTTTGCAGCAAAAAGACCGCACATAACCAAATCAAACGTGCGTACTCGGGAGCTCAAGCGATGTCAAGGACCAGATGAGATTCCGGACCTTGAAACTTCAGCAGAAAACCAACGAGGTAGCCCTGCTCAAACGAACATAGGGACGGCTTTTGCAGGTCCCAGTGGTGCACCATACGATCGCGCGACCCCGACAAAAGCGCATGTATGTTCCAAGCGAGAGCACTGATGCGTTGCGTGTTACATGTGATGCTCGTAGAGTACTTATGAGCAACGTAGATGTGCATTCTACCTGAGAGCGTTCCAATACCAAGCATCGTGCCTTATTAAAGAGTCGAATCAAGTAGAATAAAAAGGAAATAACCACACACCTCCTGTACCCACGACACCGATGCATTGTACTTACCATATACACATAGCTCCCTAGCCCCACGCCGACATCCGTCCTGTTACAGACCAAATGAAAATTGTCTGCCAAGTCTAGGTCATCAAGTACTACGCGGTAGGGCGTCCTGCAAACACTGCGTAGCTCGACTCCAAGAATTGATGGGACTGTTGCAACCTAAAACACTTGTTACAACTAACGACACGACGAGGGAGAGTGAGAAGAGGCAAAAGCCTTCCTTTCCCCCCAATCGTCGATCAAACATGCCAATGACGCAGTAAAGCCATGATGTCGAGGAGGCGTACGGAGCGCGTGCCACGGCCCACTGAGGTCGGCCGCTCGCCCAATTAGACTTATATAAAAAATATTAAACTCAATTAAACATATTAAGCTTACGTCAGCCTCAACCTCTGAGTGGAAACACAATCCGTAAAGTACACCATTTAGGTCTGACGTCGCTGGTATACGTAGTCTACCACATCCTCCACGTCAAACGGAGCAATGGCGACGACGACAGTGGCCCAAGTTGTTGTAGAGGAAGGCAAGCTCCTCAGCGAGTCCCTCAGCACTGTCAAAATACAGGTCGGCCAGATGAAGAGGCATTTGGTGAGTTCCTGCGCAGCAAGACATTGAAGTCTGCACGTCATAATTCACTAACAATATTATACTCAACTCGGTTCACGAAACAGGATAACGATGATATCATGGACGCGCTGAAAA